TTTTTTTTAAAAAAAAAAAATTTTTTTTTTTTAAAAAAAATTTTTTTTTTTTTTTTTTTTTTTTTTTTTTTTTTTTTTTTGTGAGACTTGATCCTAAATGTATAGGAAAAACAGGAAAAAAATGTATTACACTGTTGGTAGTAACTTTGTTTCTAGTTCTAAATTGTAGGATTAAGTTCTCTGGCAAACATATTTAATATATTAAATTATATTTTGTAGTAATTCAAGAGAAGTTTCTAAAGAAGTGAAGCTAAAGAAAGGATGGCGGGAAAGTTTTCTCATTGAAAGAGGGTAAGAAGTGTTTAGTTAACCCTAAACCAAGATATTTTCCTTGCAAAAGGTGGACGTTTCTTCTTCAGGGGCAAACTGAGAATAGTGGTGTAATTGAGTGAGTGATATATATAAAAGGAGTTGAGTGACATCATGAAGGACACCTGGGCTTCCAGGAAGTGTTTTTGTATAGTTTTGAATGTAGTATTGTAAGTGTGTCTCATTTCTGGTGCAACATTGCTGGAAACAAAAGGTTATGTAAAAAAAATGCTTTGCTTTAGAAATAGTCAAAACTATACTTAAGTGTTGTTTAAGTAAAATCAAGGTGATACATGAAGATTGAAAAAGAAATGTTAAGCAGGCCAATTTCTAAAGACAGGCATGGAAAATTGTCATAAATAAATAACATTACATAAATTAGGGGTAAACTTCGAGAGTTCACAATATATGAAAAAAAAATAAATATTTTTCTGACAGAGTACAGACCAATGATTGGAGATCACTGATTCCAGGTTCTAGATTCATTCCACAAGGTTGAACAATATTTAGATTTGTGATCTAAATTAAATCTTGATACTTTATTCTGATTGTTTTAATGTTTAGAAACTTAATCCCATTGCCAAGTCAGGATGAGATGTGACACATTTACTTGTATTAAAATGATTAAGGTAGAATTTATTCCTGTTTGGCTGCATTGTTTAGTTGACCTAAATTTTTTCCTTCATCAGAGTTGTATCTGAGCAGCTAAGTTCTTAATTGTGAAAATAAGAATTGGTTGTTCTTTCATTATCGGAAAACAATGTTGATATTTCAACATCCAGAAAGTTTTCCATCATACTCTCATTTCCTAATGAAAATATCTGTAGTTTATAAATTTGTTTACTAGTGAAGGATATATTTCAAGTACTTATAAAGCATAGCTGTATAGTATCTGAATTGTGTTCAGAAAAGAATGTTCACTGTAGTCCCAATAAGAGGTTAATGTAATACATGTGCATTAATTCTGTTGAATGTTAAAACTGAAATGTGAACAATTTGATGGTCAAGATAAGGAGATATTCTAACTTTATTGGTTAATTTTATTGAGAAAAGTGATCCTTATGAAAAAAAGATGTTCCATTTCTTTAAGTTACAATGTAACTTGTTTATCAGAGAGATTTGAGATGTTTGTAATTTTCGGTATGTGCAACTTCTAATATTAGAACCTTCAAGATGAGAGAATGTCTTATTCTTGGTTCAAACTTAATTAGTTAACCAGAATTTGTACCTTCATTAGCTCGATATATCAGTATTACAACTTCGTTAGGCGTTATTGATAACGTCTAAGTTATCATTTTATTTAAATTAATAGAAATATCTAGCAATAAGCTTCATTTTACATTAAAGTTAAAAATAATAATCCTATCCTGTAACATAACATCGAATTACTTTTACTGTACTCATTCTAGCTACTTAAAATCTGACCTATAACACTGCAGAATGAAATAAATCTGGTTATTATAAAGGTTCTCTTAGCCAATTCATTATCAATTTTGTGTAGAACGTTTAAAAGTAAAAAATTTTCAATATCTTGTCATAAAACAACTATTTGATTGTAATCCTAAATATATAATCAAGAAAACACAGGAAAAAATCAAGTACTTATACCATGTACTCTACTTTTTACCTTGTTTAGTAAACTCACCAAAGGCTATAAAGACATGTATTCTGAAAAGTCAGTCAAAAAAAAAAAACTGATTGCAGAAAAGTGTGGACAACCAGAATATTCTTCACCTTGCAAGTCCTTCCAGGTTAGTACAGTTAGTTCAGTCAGTTTAATATTGTTACATGACAACCAGAATATTCTTCACCTCGCAAGTCCTTCCAGGTTAGTACAGTTAGTTCAGTCAGTTTAATATTGTTACATGACAACCAGAATATTCTTCACCTCGCAAGTCCTTCCAGGTTAGTACAGTTAGTTCAGTCAGTTTAATATTGTTACATGAGAAAATTACAAAGTTTGACCACTTTCATCATCTCTATGTATTTTATCATTTATTGTCAATTTAACAGAAGTCGGTATTCAATGGTTTTTTTGATAAATTTATTTGTTTGAAGAAAAAAACTTAATTTCAATTTTCAAGTAATTTCTGCATTTTACAAAAGTGTAATGGAATTGACAAGTAGAGATTGAAAGATCAGTCTGTCGTGTTTGTTGTTATTTAATTTAATAAATAGATTTTACGTTCATTATATTAAGAATACATAATTGAAATCATGAACAGAAATGGGAATGTATACATGATGGTCAACGGTGGCGAGTACGCAAGTGTCGAAGTGTTTATTTTGATCAAAGAGTGAACAAGAAAAGGAGGAGGAGAAACTGCTGGTGTGAGAATGATGACGATAGTTTATTAGCAGAGTATGCCAGTAAAGCCTTGGAGGTTAAACAAGCACATAGTGAGATGTCTTTTGATATAGCTGGTACTGCTACCAAGGAATTGGCAATGAAACCTCAGGAAAGACGACTTCAACGAAAGTTCCTTAAAGAACATGTTAACCAAGGTATTGTTTTTCTTTCTTTTTTTAACAAGATATGAATGTTCTGCTGTTTTAAGCTTGAACTATTTTTGACATGTTGTAGACTAGTTTTAAATTTTTCTTATGCCATAAGACCATCTATAAATCAAGTATTTGACTTGGTTACAAAAGAAAGACTGCTGTAAGAATTATTGTAAATATTTGGCAAGTCGACTATTTTATTTGTAATACATCTTCTTTGTATGAATTGATAGTGATCTTGAAACAGCTGGCTTTTACTGAATCATCTCAATTTAATGGATGTTGAAAGATATGGAACTTTATCTCATCCCTGATCATATTGTACTTCTTGATGTATGGCCTCATCATCCTTCTAGATAACTCTGTATAACATTGTAATATGCAAATATTATGACTGTAACCATTTCATAAGTTAGAAAATGAATATATCTGTATGTGGATAAAATATCAGTACAAATCGTCTGTATTTTGATGTTCTGTATGAATATGTTTTTCCCATCTGTGAATAACGATCATCTACTGTTAGACTATCAAACGTGGTCTGAGCTAGGGAAGGTGAGGCTGGTCAGTATTACATGAGATACGTTTAATTCCTTTGTCACAATGTTTGGCAAACTCAGCTTGTGTAAAAACAGATGCAAGAAATGCTATCTTCCCCTTTTTTGATAATGAGGCTATTTCACCATACTTTCTGGGAAGAACTAGTAGATCTTGAATGTGAGTACAGTTTGAATGTAAACCTAGTACTTCAATTTACAATTAACAGTCTTCATTCAGATTAAAATTGCCGTTGTCTTTGAGTACATTTTCTGACTCACAGATAAAACTGAGTTGCCATCAATCACAATAAAACAGTAATTATCATCATTCGCATAGAGTTATAGTTATATTTGTGCGACTGACGGATATTTCCATCATTCGCAGCTGAGCCATAGAACTTCAGTGACGGAAATATCCATCATCTACAGGTAATGGGTTAAGATAGTTGTGGCCTGCATGTTAAAGTTTCAAATGTACCTTAGAAAAAAGCCTTAATATTTGCTTGAAATAAGAAAGAGTGTTAGTAACAAAGCACTAAGTGCTCTGACTGAGAAGTATTGTAGTGGTAAAATAAACTTTTTTGGTAGATAGGATTCAGACACTGAACAGGAAGTACATAAATGCCATATTCCTTAAATGAAAAATGAGTAAATGCAGGTGAACTTTTTAAAAAAACCCTTGACCACAGCAAGGGAGAGATGGATGATGCTAATTTTGTGAAATCACTGAAAAAATTAGTAGGTATTTTAGTATTGAGAATTAAATGCCATTTATTATACAGTCTTTCCCCAGTGAGATTTGTATTACTTAGATAACCATAGAACTTTTTCATAGCTTTAGGCCTTAAAGTTTCATTAATATTCTAACTTAATTCACTTTGTTTGAGCTAGTGTTCACCCCTTAGCAGATTTGGAATGTTTGGACTAAGTTACAAACCCTAGCTAATTCATCTATTTCAATTTAATCAAACAAAATTTAGCCTTGAAGTGAGACTGTTTTGAAACCACGAGGGAGAAAGTTTTTTTGGAAACTGTTTAAGATGACTTTCTTCACCAATTTGTCAAGGACCCTGCTAGAAACAATTTATTGTTAACTTTTAATATAGAAATTGTTGAGAGGGGAGAAATTGGGGAACATCTGGGTGCAAGTGCTCTATTAGGTTCGATGTTTTACTGCATATGGAGATAAGGAATAATGATATTTTGGTTAGAAATTTCAAAAAAGCAAATTTTGAAGGGATGCGACAAGAATTATCTGTTGTCAGTTGGACAGCCGAGTTATTTGGAGACACTGATCAAATGTGGAAAACTTTAAGGATAATATTTCAAATATTCAAGATAAACATATTCCTTATAGAAAGAAAAACTGCAAGTAAAAAACCAGGTTGCCTCACAAAGAGTTTAAAAGATAAAATTAAAGAAAAGCATTACAAATTTAAGAAATTT